TCACTGTGTCCTATTCTGTCGTGCGTGATCACCAGCGTGAGCTTTCTACGTCAGATGTACTCAACTCTCAGCCTCAGCATCCTCTGCCCTGGGGGCACCTGTCCCCCAGGGCATTGGAGGGGCCTGTGTCAGGGCCACTGTGCATCTGGGACGCAGGATTCACAGAAATGGCACCGAATTCAGTGTCGGCACGTCCCAGATGGCACGCAGGAGGTGATTTACTAGCCTCGGGGAGACTTGGACACGGGACAAGAGCTGCCAAGACCATGTTAACACGCAGCAGTGTTTAGAATTTAATGCACAGAAGCGTCCCATAAACCCCTCCTCCTCGTTGCTGTGGAAGTCTGTGTCCTCCGGATGTAACTGGAGGCTGACATTTCCTGTAGACTTCCCGTCCTTTCCCCATCACAAACCAGTGTCATGGCTGTCCCCATCCTGCTCATCTGAGATTCAGTCACGCCCTGTTTTCTGCATTACCGGGAGGCCATCTCCCAGGTCAGTCTGTGGCCAGAATGACGCTCGCCCCTTGGCGTGTTTTGTGGTTACTCCTTTTGTATTTATTGGATCCCAAAAACAAGCCCTGCGGGTCCCAGTACAGCAGGTGGGCGTAAGTCTGTGAGGGTCTCTCTGGCAGCTGCAGAGAGCGGCAGAAACACTGGCTGGGGCTGCATCCTCACAGGAGAACGGGGCAAGTGCCACCTGCTTCACGGTTGCTGATAACCCGGCACAGAGCCCACGGTCCTGCTTGTGCTGAGCCTGAGCTTAGAGCGGGTGTTCAGGGAAGGTGTGAGCAGGTGCAGGTTCCCAGGCTCTCCCCAAACTGCTGCTCAGCTGCCAGATACACTCAAGCCAGGAAACCGTCCTGTCGTTTTTCTGAGGGTCGGACTGTAAATCGCACAGATTTGAACCCAGTGAAGGACTGTTCCGCAGAAGCAAGAATTCCTGGACCCCACTCCGAGGACGCTGAATTCTGACCAGGAACAGGGGCTGCCCCTCCCTGCAGGATGACTAGGGAACCAGGGGTTGCTTCGCAGGTGACCCTGTCACGCCCCAGCTATAGCCCCCAGGCTGGCCCCATGGGGATGTGGTCGAACTGTTTTGGGGGCTGTGGAGACAGGCCCCAGCGGCCATGAGTCTCTGGGCTTTTCTAGACAGTGGGGCAGGGGCTGGGGGATTTTGATGTCCACACGGGATCGTGGATGCTGGATGTGGGATTCCGCTCCTGCATCGTCGCTTCACGTCTGTGATTAGCCAGCACTGGACCTACAAGGCATCAGGACACATGTGTCGGCAAAGAGCAGTGTCCTGAGA